AAAAAAATATAGGATAAACCACATAAATGACCACATAACTATGGGCTGGGTCACGAAATGACCACCATTTTCAAATGCGAATCAATATGACCACTGAACTATTTAAATGGTTTCAATATAGTCACCTGTCGTTAACACTTAACTGAAGTGTCTACGTGACAGTTAATAAAATTAGTATAATTAGGGGATGAGTCCTTGTAATGTTACGTATTCATGGCGTTGGAACCCTACTTTTTTTCTTCTATTTTTGTCACTACTTGTGTATGATTTGTTTCCTTGGATTTTCATTTAATGCAATTTGATCCTGATTCTGTTTTTAATTTGTGTAATGCCTTAATTTGAACATTAACTTTAAAATCTTTTATTCTAGTCATGTATTAAATTTATATATTAAATATCTTAAATTTTAGAATTAATCAATTTGATCACCAAAATTAGCTTTAATTCTTAATTTTAATTAGGTACTAATTTCAATTTTATTTAATAAATTTATTTCTCCAATCAAATTGTGACATGTGCACAATCTGATTAGAAGATTTTTTAATTTTAATTTAATTTAATAAATTTTCAATCCAATCAAAAGGTGACACGTGTCACCTTTTGAATTGAAGTGAAAATAAATAAATATGAGTTTTAACACCCAAGGGTAACATGTGCATGCCTTAACCATTGAGCTAATTCTCACACTTGTTATTTAAATAATACATATGTTATATAAATTGTTCAAGTTTAATCAGAAAAAAAATTAAAATAACTTAATTAGATTTGAACCCAAAATGATTTAGTAATCCATCAAGCCTTAACCAATAAGTTAAATCTAATATTTAAGAATCAATTATATTATTATTATTATTATTATATATATATATATATTATAGTTAATGATAAAAAAATAAAATGGATAAGTGAAAGCTTACATCTAGGCCAATTGAGAATATGACAACACTTAAATTATTAAAATAAATTAAATCATTTATTTATAATTGATTTAAGATTTCAATATTTTATACTAAATTTATTGTTTTTCATATTTATTTTTTAATGATTATATATGAAACCATTAAAAATAATTTAATATTCAAATTATAATCATAAGAAAAATATTTAAGATTCAAATTATAATAATTAATAAATAAATATAAAATAAATAATTTTAATTTAAAAAATATTAAAATCTTAAATTAATTATAAATAATATATTAGATTTGTAACAATTTAAGTGTTATCATATTAGATTTTTGTCTTCACTTGTCTATTTCTATCATTAACTATAATATATAGTATATGAAAAATATTTAAATTGATTCTTATTAGATTTAGCCTAATGGTTAAGGCTTTGCTTGGTTACTAACTTATCTCGGGTTCAAATGCAATTAAGTTATTTTGGTTTTATTTTTTCGCCTAAACTTGAACAAGTTATATAACATATATATTATCTTGACAACAAATCAGCTCATCGATTAATTCTAAAATCTAGGGGATTTAACCTACAAATTTAAGACATGACTAGAATAAAAGATTTTAAAGTTAATACTCAAATTAAAGTATTAGACAAATTAAAAACAAAATCAGGATCAAATTGGATTAAATGAAAATCCAAGAAAATAAATCATATACAAGTAGTGACCAAAATGGAAGAAAACAAAGCAGGATGCCAGCACCACTTATATGTAACTTTACAAGGACTTGTGCCCTAATTATACCAATTTTACTAACTGTCACATAACACTTTCGTTAAATATTAATGATATATGGCTATTTTGAAACAATTTAAAATAATTCAGTGGTTATATTTATATAAATTTGAAAATCATGGTCATTTCGCGACTCAATCTATAGTTATATGGACATTTATATAGTTTATCCTAAAAACATAAACATTTTTAAAACTTTTTTGGGTAAACTATGTATTTAGTATTTAAACTATCAAGTTTAGTTTATTTCAGTACCTAAACTTTTATTTTTTTTAAACTTATATCTAAAATTTAGTTTTCGTTTCATTTAGTACTTTTGTTAAAAATTTAAAGTTAAATTTAATTTTTTTGAAACTTTAGACACTTAAACGGACCAAAATTGATAGTTTAAATATTAAACGAGTTAAGATTTTAATAATGATCAGTGAAATACTAAAATAAAACAAAAACTAAATATTATATATGATTTTAAAAAAATAAAAGTTTAGTTAATAAAATTTGATGAAAACTAATAGTTGAAATATTAAATACTAAATTTATCCAACCTTTTTTCCTTCGTTTTCTCGATCATTTTTACGTTTTCATTTTCGATTATGTTTCGATCAAAATCGAATTTTTATTCTCTGGGGGTGAAAAAGAAGAACGTCTTCTGTCATCTAAAGCATTGATTGAATCGAACTCTGATCCGCCATGGTACGTCCTTTCTTTACCTTTCTCTAATTTATTTTCCCAATTCAGTTGCATGAATTTTTTATTTATTACGATGAATTGTTATTAAATTTCGATAAAATTAATTGTTTCTCAATGCTAATTTGGGTTGTTTAGGTTGCTTAGTGAATTTTTAGGTGATTCAGGGTTTGGTAGTCAGCAATGATATATTGTTTAATACTTTGTTACAAACCTTTAGAGTTCAGATATAATCTTCCAAATTTTAAGTTAACTTGATCTGGTTCAACTTTTTACTTCCTTTTTAGGTCAATTTAAATTTGGGTTTTTGATTTTTCAAGCGGCTAATGTATTTTTTAAGGATTTTGGATTCTTGTTCTCTGTGAAATCAAAATCTGAATCGTCTGGTAAAGTTGGTTTAAGTCGCATAATGGGTTAATACCTCTATTTCTTTACATTTTTTATCTCAATTTTTTTGTTAGAGGGATTAAATGTTTCTGTTTTTAGCTGCTTTTCTGTTGTTGCATCTTGACTTTGTTGGCATAATTTTGGTTGTGATTGGATCGGAGGGAAATGAATCAAAGTTCATATCTTCGACTATTATTTTTCATATTGATTTTAATGAGAAGAATGTAAATTGTATATGAGAATGATTGTAACTTCATTGATTTTATGTTTTTCATTTATCAAATGTTGGCTTCTTTTGCATGTTTTTGGTCATGATATATTCGAAGGTGATGAATTTAAATTATTATCACTAACTTACGTTTCTTATCGGTATCGTGATTCGATATAACATTGAACTGTTTGCAAGAGTTATGAAGTTTGCAGTAAGCTTTGTTGGAGCTGCCTCCGTTTCCCTTTTGTTTTGATTACAATATCAAGAATTCTCAGATTTTGAAATACTGTCTTCTTGCTGATAAGAACATTGATCAAAGATAGATATGGTAGCTATAGATGAGTGTAAATTGTAATTATGATACTTTGCTGTGATGATATGATCATTATTTTTCACTTATCCATATGCCCTTTTATGCAGGCTGCCAGGATTCTTGCCAACTTAATTGTAATGGGATCGGGTATACTGGCTCGAGCTGTTGTTCAAGCATACTGTCAAGCACTTTCAAGTTAGTTCAGTATTACTCTACTGTTATTTCGTGTTTTTTACTTGCTTTTTTTTATAGGAAGTGGAGGCCTCGTTAAAAAACCCCCTTCATGATTAATGGAACACTAATTGGTATTCTTTAATCAGCGGAAGGAGAAAAAGAGTGTCTCAAATTTCATTAATAATTGAGAGATTACATAATGTTTAAAACAGCCGATCCCCCTACAAAAACAACCCGAAACACTCCAAATAACACATCTAACACTTAAATAAAAAACATCAAAACCCAACAAACAAACACTACCCAATACCAGCCTTGGCTAAGGTATCAGCTTCTATATTAGCTGTTCTGTCCACCCATCTGATAGCACCCTCAAAAACTCTTATCATAGCAGCAATTTCTTTGGCTAAATCAAGAAAAACTGCAGGACAGTTATCAGGATTCTTAACCCAATCCACTGCAAGTTTGCTATCATTTTTTTTTACTTTGCTTTGAAAATAGGAACCTGTTTTTATTGATTGTTATGAAGATTTTATCTTAGAAATAGTAATACAATTGTGCGATATAATCACCGTTGTCGGGAAATTTACATGATGAACTAAACCGATTCTTATTTTCCTTTTTGACATATGCTGATATATATGCTTTCTTGAGAAATTTGGTTTAGTTCCAAAGCCAGCATCCTATTGTAATAAAATAGCAGCAGTGATGTTCTTTTATTTGAGAGATCGATACACTGCAATTTTGTTTAGTCGGTATCTGCAACTAGATTGTTGCCTTCCTATTGCCAAACTCGCCGTGAGCGACAATGAGGCGATTAGTAATGTTTTTATAGTGGCAGCTATTGTGTTTGTTTCATATGTATCAATCTTTTGAACAGTAAGTTATCGCAGATGCTGCAAAATCTGGTGTTACTCATGAAACGCTACAGAATGCCGCCCGTTGAGCTGGTAGAGTCATGACAGTGCAAGAAGCTAGGCAGATTCTTGGTGTAAGCGAGGATGCAGCTTGGGAGGAGATAATGAAGGCTAGTATACTAAGCATCTCTTTTCGTTTTCCCTTTCAGTTGCTTTCGTCTCAAATAACCTTGAAAGCTTCTTCCACTATATTGCAGAAGTATGGCCATTTATTCGAGAAGAACGCCAAGGTCGGGTGCTTCTACCTTCAGTCAAAGGTTCATCGGGCTAAGGAGTGCTTAGAAGCCTCCCATCGAGCCAAAGGCGAGGCAGTCCCCCTAGTTGAGAATCCGTCCAGGTTTACTCGTTTCACATACAGATGCCCATATGTAAACTAATTTGGCTCGAATAATACAACTATATACAGCATCCTATCCTGCTCCCCATTCTTGGGGTTCGAACTATTCATTCAAATTTTGTCCACAATGTTATACAGTTGAGTGGTTGCATCTAATAATTAAGCTTTCGTTCCGGCAATATGTCGTCAATATGTCATTGCCGGTGACCAACTTGTTGCAGCTGTTACGTAGTAGTTTAGTTGAAACTTGAGGCACTGAAAAAGTATGTAAGAAACTGTATATAAAGAATACAAGATGTTGTAAATTCCATGCCTTATTTTGGTGTTATACTGAGGTTTTATCAGTTTGTTTCTGTTCCAACATGTTTTTCAAAACTTAAGAATTCTAAGGAAACTTGAAATCAGGGTATGAATCTTTTTCAAAACTTAAGAATTCTAAGGAAGCTTGAAATCAGGGTATGAATCTGCCGGCGTTCCACCAGCCACGTGTGCGATCGCACCCACAATTTTCCGATATAACCAAAAACTACCTGTGAAAGAAATCGAATTATTAACTGCAAACGTGTTGACATTTAGAATTCGAGTTTCAAATCGGTTGGAAGTCGACTTTAAAGGTGATTATATAAAGCTGATGTTATGTCTAGTTTGCCATTTTTCTACCATTTTATATTTGCATTCACCGGCTGATGCAGCCTCAGCAGATTAACCAAAGATGGGAGGAAGTTCCGAGTTAGAACTAAAACTCCTCGATTTCAGGCATAAACAAGCCATTAAAGATCGGAGAAAGGTTCGATAAAGAACTAACCTCTCCATTTCAGGCCTAACATCGTTGAAGCAAATATCGAATAACGTTAAAAACTTACCTTCCACTTTCGAGTCTTGAAAAGCTCGACTACAATGGGGTTTCATTCGAGAAAGACTTGAATTCTGTCACCCATTGTATCGTTAAAATCCAACAACAGCTTCCCACCAACTTCTTCGGCGGCATCGTCCAACAATTCCTTGATGTTTATGCCCCCCAAAGCTGTCAAGAAAGGAAATCAAAATCTTCGCGGTTAAATATTCAAGAAACATGGTCATGGTAGATTAAGATCGTAAAACAATACCATACCCGGAACGATATTTGTTATTCCTTCCAAAAACCCGGCCTGAGGAAAAACCGAATGAATAACTTAAACGGCAGAAGAATATCTTCGCAATGGATTTTCGCTAAAGAGTTAAAGAAAACTAAATGGCTGGACCAAACTATCTAATCCGTATCACATATTAAACACCCGAATGAATTTCAACAATAGAAGAAGCACTTACTGGAAATTATGATTGGCATACGGGCATGTTCAGTTAATGAAATGATAAGCAATCTATTTAATAAGGCACCTTCGCTTGAAGCAGAAGACTTACAGGAACTCTAACGTCCAGTCTCTCGATTCCGTCTCTTCCGGTAATCTTGATTCTCAATGACCGAGACCAGATCCTAGCAAAAGGATCCCTTGAACCATCTGCACGATAGTTACTGTATACATCAGGAGTTATCACCTCGACAACTGGATCTTGAGGACTTTGACCTCTTTGTTCCGACTCATCTCGAACCCGTTCTATACTGTATGCATTACTGCTCACTGAACATAAACCATGGTTATAGGATTAGGAAGACAAGGCAACAATATTAAAGACTTAAGGGTTTAATTTGGGAGTCGGCAATGTCAGCAACTTATAGTAACAAAGAAGGCAGGACAAATACAAATTTTCAGATATCCAAAAATATGGAAAAAAATTGAAAACTCCCATGCCGAGCACATACTCCATAACCGACACTCGCACTGAATCTGAGTAGCATAGGTTTTAAGTTCAATTTGGACCCTTGAGTCCTAAATCTCACCCACCTCTGTCTCCATATAGCCGATAATTGCTGGCAGCATATATTTTTTCTTCCTCATAGTATTTATTGAAACCTAAGATTTCCTTGATTTCTTCGAAAGATGGCATGCTCCCCGGAGGCGGAATACGACCACCTTTGAGGGCATTCAGCGAATCCTGCAAATTTGTGGAGGTTGGCTTTTGAGAAGCAATATCGTATTAACAATTGAATCATAAGAGAACGAAGTGCCCCCCATAATAAGATTAAGTGAGCTTTTGAATCTTCAAAAAAGAAAAAAGTGCGCTTTTGAACACATGAACGAAGTGAAGATACAAAACCTGCATTGCTTGGATAGATACTCCAATCAAGGAGAGCGGATATGCCACAAGTTTATATCCGATTTCTTCGAGTTCAAGCGGAGTGAGTATTGGTGTTTTCCCCCCACCTTCAAGCATATTACCCTACATAGGAGTGCAAAACCTGCATCAATTCTCATTCGGAAGGTCCTATGCTAGAACAATTACTTTCCAAATTCATATCGGAAAGCCTACCGAGATGTTAAATGTTTAAGCAACAAAAGGAAACTACTGGCCTACCACTAGATAAAGTTATGTTTCTTCAGTGTTCTATCTTTGAATAGTTTGAAAAGAACATACTATACCATTTTTGGAACTAACGGAGAAACTTCACAAAAGGTTTTCATTTCTTCTTTAGAAGCTAGTGCATCAATAAAAAGGACATCTGCTCCGGCATCGGAAAAAGCCCTTGATCTCCAGAGTGACTCCTCTAAAGACAGCGCTTGACGAGAATCCGTCCGTGCCACGATAACAATGTCCGAGCCACTCTCTTTGCGAGCGTCAACTGCTGCTTTAATTCTCATAATGGCTTCCTCTCTGGATACCACCTTCCTGCCTTGTGTGTGACCACATGCTTTCGGAGACACCTAACAGTGAATTTTTATAAAACCCGAGCCTCAAATATGAACAACCAAATAAGCAATTCAAAGATTATATAGAAAACTGCTTAGAGGACCATAAACATTGTTTACGGAAATGCAGTGTTCATGTAATGTCAATACAGAAACAAAAGTATTTGAAAAGATGATTTTCTTTTCATTTTTTCTTTTTGGCTCAGAACATGAACCTGATCTTCGAGAATGATCCCGGCAAAGCCGGCTCTTATGTATCCTTTAACAGTTCTCTTCACATTCATCGCATTTCCATATCCATTATCGCCATCTCCAATAACAGGAATCGACACGGCCTGGGTGATTTGTTGGCCCTGATCAACCATTTCTCCATAGGAAATAAATCCCGTGTCCGGTAATCCCAGACGAGCAGCAGAAATGGAAAATCCTAACGATGGCAGCAAAGGATGTTAATGCAGAAAGCATCTCGAGACAGTTGAGCAACAAGATAGCGAAAATCGTTAAACAAATACATACGTGTAATAATACACATTTCGGATTTTGATTCTGGAAAATGGAAATGGATCAAGCTGAAAGGGATAAATTCAAAGAAACAAAAATAGTAGTGTTCTACAATGAAACCAACAGGTGGTAAGAACAAAAGGACCAAAATTACAGTAATTACTAAGTTTTTATGATAAAAAAACCCACTGAATTAATATATTGTTCTCAAATTAAGTCCAATTAATTTAAGGGAAACAAAACAGAACATGATTGCCTTAAAAATCAACAAACAAATTCGTCTAAGCTCGGCTCATTTTCGCCCCTAATTATAAACTCCAAGGCAAAACTGCATGAATCATCAAAACAAAAGAAACCCAAATCAAAACACCAGCAGTTTACCAATCAATAAACAGAAAAGATTGAAGTTTTCAGATCCAACAACTCCAGCTGAAGGAAACCCAAATCTCGGAATTCATAAATCAATGAAAAGAAACAAAGGGAAAGTGAAAGAAAAGATTACCACTGGTGAAACAATACCGAAACCCAGCTCTTTCAACAAGCTTAGCACTGAGACCATCAAAACAAGCAGGGCCTTGATGAACCCCAGGCGATTCCAGAATCTGTCGAAGTGACTTTGCAGGCGATCTACTGTCGCCTAAACAACAAGAGATGGCTCGGAATCGCTTAGGAGATGTGAACAAAGTGTGGGTCTTTGGCTTTCTTCTGTGGGTGTTGATGATGGGACACACAAAGGAACCATTTCTGGAATTTGAAAGAGGGGAAGATTGAGATTGTGGGAAAGGGTGGCTGAAAAGAGAGAGGGTTTGATCTCTGGTAATCACTGATGATAATGATGATGATGGGTTCATACTTGAATACTGAAAAAAAACCCTGGAATTTTCACTGAGCTCTCTTCGCTTTTTCGTTCTGGTGATGACACATTGAAAAGGCAGTTTATAGTCAAGGAATTTTCTTCAGCGAAAATAACTAAATACTAAATTTGCCAATGGCGATTTGATGACTAAAATATCGTATATAATTCGCAATCGAATATTACTTTTTTCTCTCTCTCTCCCCCCTCTCTCTCTCTCTCTCTCTCTCTCTCTCTCTCTCTCTCTCTCTCTCTCTCTCTCTCTCTCTCTCTCTCTCTCTCTCTCTCTCTCTCTCTCTCTCTCTCTCTCTCTCTCTCTCTCTCTCTCTCTCTCTCTCTCTCCTCTCTCTCTCTCTCTCTCTCTCTCTCTCTCTCTCTCTCTCTCTCTCTCTCTCTCTCTCTCTCTCTCTATATATATATATATATATGAGTTATTTGTATTTATTCAATTATCATTTTACTTCATGCACGACATATATACATAAATTATATGAGTGATCTGTACTTGTTGATTCTATCTTTTGCATCATTAACTCTCATGCCTTATACATTAAACTTTTATTTATGTCTTATACCTTTATTAATATAAAACATTTAAAGAATAATTATTAATTTCATACATTTTTTTAACATTTATTAATATTTTAATTAACTTAATAATTCATGTTTATATAAATGTTTTAAAAATATTATTAATAAATATTCTATACTAATTTCTTTTACCAAATCAATATTAACGTTAATTTTTATAATCATTCACTTGATTTTTCAGCATTTCACATTTAACCACTAATAAATTTTTCTTTCAATTATAAATCCAATATTTAGTATATATGTAAATTAGTTCCTTAATATTCAATTTAAATTCATATCAACTATTTTCACATTATATTAAATGTAATACATTAACTTTACCCAATTGTTGTTTCACCACCAACTTTCTTAAAACTTATAAATTTGATCTCTACCTTATACAACTTTTCACATTAAACCAAATCCCAATTTAAATATTCAAGTCCATCTAATAATTATTTAGACTTTACACGTCATCTCATACTCAATTTCTACTTTAATCCCTAATTTCTCCATATTTATAATTTAGTTCTTTAGCTTATATATTCTTCCAAATTTGATTCTAAATTCATAATATCATAATTTCAACCATAAGTTAAATTCTTTTAAATTTTCAATTCAACTTTTCAATTTTGTTTAATATAGTCCTTCTTGTCATTTAATCCAAAATTCACAAATATTCCAATTCACCATCTAGACATCAAATTTAGCACTCGAACTTTTAGTCTCATCCTAATACATCAATTATTAAACAATTACACGTTAATCCTCATATTTATCAATTTATGCTATTAGATCCTTATACTTTTAACATTTTCCAAATTGGCCCAATTCATATTCTAATCATATAGAATCACCCATTCATAATTTCTAAACCTTGTAAACTTTTACCACAATTTTTCCTTATTTCTTTCCTTTGGTGCAATAATTTTAAGTTTTCCTAACATAGTTTCTATTTTGATTCAAACATAAATTCATCCTCTAAGCAACATTTCCATGAAATTATCATAATTTTCATGATAAGATAATAGAATTGGCTCATTTCAACCAATTAAAATAGTTTATAACATAAAAAATCACAAAATGCATAATTTACCACCATTTCATATACTGGTAGTTTGTATTAACCTCAAAGAAGTATTTTTTCTGTATTAATATATGCGCTTAAGATTATTCTGTTTGTCCCATTAAAAACTAGACTCGAATACAAATCTAATCATATAAGACACTTCTTTTAATACAACTTGTACATTTTATGGAAAAATTTTCAATCTAGCTTACAGAATCTGTTTGGACCAGAATCTGCTGCCCAAGTTTATGACCTATCACCGATTAAATTTTGTATACACCTCTAAATCACTATCCGTTTGTTTTAAACAAAACTAGACTGATTTACGAATCAACGATATAAAAAACGTCTTTTATTTATTCTTGTAGAATTTATAGTGATTTTCTAAAGTTACTGGCCATATTATCAATTTAAACTGATTTCACTAATTTGCATTCTTAACTTGTTCACTCACTTTTATTAGCTTATCAACTGAACTCAAATGAATCAATTGAATATCCTAACATCATCGACACAGTCACCTTCAACACAATACAGTAATTTCCAACAATTACATAATTATGGTTTAATTTCTCAAGTCATGCAAAATAGGCTCCTAATAGTCTCCAACTTGTTTCAAACTTGTTTCATCAAGTAAAACTCATTTCCAATCAATTCTAATCATTATCAATCAAATTCAAGGCAAAAAAAAAATCAAATTCAACCAAGTTCCTAATATATCCATCAATGGCCAAATCACCAGACCAATCCCTCCAACAATTTTTATTCAACTTTCACGCTTAATTATAACCATACGACACTCCTAATATCAAAATCTAACTTAATTTCATCAAATTCTCAACTCCCATTCATCCACCAAAATCACAACTTTCACCATATAGCATGAAACCAAGAAATAATTACACCAAATTGTAGAGAATTTAATGGGGATTATTTTCTTATTTCACACTTTAGCCTAAAATCTTACTAAAATTAATCAAAAATGGAAAAGAAAAGAAATTGCTCACCTTGATTATGAGTTTTCAGCAATCTGCCGGAGAAGAAGAGACTCCCGAAATTTCTGAAAAAAATTCTCCCCGATTTTGACTTTTAAAACCAATAAAAAATTTATTCATTTTGGACCAAAAACCCAAATTGCTATTAATGAATTCCCAAAATTAAAACCATACCACTCCATTATCTCTATTTTAATATTATTAAATATATGTAAAAATCTTATATCTCAAATTTTCTTTTTGACCCTCTAATTTTTCAAAATTTTATTTTAGTCACTAAATTGCACTATATCACTTTATAGTGTAATTCTCACCAAATTCCACCGATCCAGCTTAAATTTCTCTATCTAAAATATCCATATAATTTTTCTGTAAATTTTTATAAACTTCCAATTCGAGTCAGTTATTCGAATAATATACTGAATTTTATCCTTTAATAGACTTTTATACAAACTCCAGATAAAAAATCTGAAACCACTAAAATAATTGTATTGGGTTGAACTACTAATTTACAAATCCAAAATATAATTTTTGAAAATTTACATTGTTAGTCTTTATACTTTTATAACTTTATACTTTAGTCCCCAAACTTTCAAAATTTACACTTCAATCACAAATAAAATTTTTGGGTATTACAAGTAGCCTCCCCAAATATGAGACAGTCATCGGTAATAGTAGATGGGAAACTGTGGGTGCATATCTATTGATTCGGACTCCTTGAAAATCTCCCCTTGATATCGCCCAACGAAATAACAAAGATAAACCTTCACTACAAATGAGGAAAAGATATGGGATAAGGTCACCCTGTCTCGGGCCTCATTTTGGAACAAAACTATCGCCCGCCACATTATTTAATAATGATCGAGTATGAAACGGTACTCACACACCTTCGAATAATCTTTATCCTAGTCCAAATAAAGTGCCTCTCTACCCCATTATAAGCTTTGCTCATACCATGTTTATGAGTAAAATAGCCTTTCTGACCTTTTCTTTTGTTATGAAATGAGTGGAGTAACTCAGACAACGATGATATTAACCTTCCTAGAACGAACGCACTTTGAGCTTCATCGATACAAACATTCAGAAAACTTTACATTCTGTTGGCGATCATCTTCGAAGTGATCTTGAATAAAATATTACACAAGATAATTGGGCGAAACTGCTCGAATTATCTACTTTTAGAAGGAGAACTATATGCATGTGGTTGAAAGTTCTATGTCATACCTACCCTGAAGGAGTCCAATGCAAAACTCAACAATTTTCGACTCAAAAACGTGCTAGAAACGTTGATTAAAAATGACACCAAGGTCATCCTCCCACGAAGCTTTTAATGGGCTCATCTACTTTACTGCTTGTGTAACATCCTCAAACGAAAAACCTCTAAGCAGATTTGTGTCTTCAATTACACATCGATCTATTCCTTCCATAATCGTATCATCCACCGTAGATACCATGGACGTAAATAATTTGGGAAGTAGTTTCTGGCTACCTCATTTAAACCAGTCTCGCTCTCGACAGTGGTCCTCTCTTCTGTGACAAACCTATTAATCTAGTTTTTTTATTCCTTTGAGTTGTGAATATGTGAAAATAGGTCGTATTGGTATCCCCTTTTGGCTAATTAGCACGTGCCCTTTGCTCCCAATAAAGCTCATGTTTATGAGCTTCAATCTTAAGTTACAATTTCGTATCAATGGTTTATCCTAAGACCTCATAAGTTGGAGCTAACTTAACAAGTTATGCAAATTTTTTTAGATCGTCTGTTGTGATTCATTTCACTCAGCATACGTTCTTGAACTAACTATCTAATCCTTGGCAAACATGACTGAGTTTTTCGGGAACTAAACCTTCAGCCTCATTTCAGAGTTGAATAACACTGTCCTCACATGATACTTTGAGCAACCAAGACGCTTCAAATTTAACATGCCATCTCTGAATAGGTGTATCGCATACCTCTGTAGTTAAGAGTCGGGGCATTGGTTTGAAAATGCATGTGAAAGATGTCGCAGAGTGTGATTTGGAAACAGTTACCTCCACGTGTTACAAGCGAAACCCCGATCAAGTCTCTCCCTAATGTTATTTTCTGCCCGATTTCCTCTCTCCCACGTGAACCATGGTCCGGAGTAACCAATGTCAGAAAGGCCACAAAAGTCAATCACAAAATGAATCGAATTCATCTATCTCTCTTGATGAACTAATCCTCCTTTTTCAAAAGAAAACATAATCTTGTTAAAATCACCTATCACAAGCCATGTAATATCAGGGGTATCGTTTAATCTATTCAAAAGATCCCACGACTCTGAATGCATGTTTTCCTCCGGGGCTCCAAAAAAAACATGTGCATCTCAATACCATCCTCTTTATCAAGAATTATTACATCAATATGTGATCTCGAAAATGATCTCAGAGTAATATTACACTTTTTTATCCACGCAAAACATAAACCCTCACGAGTTCCTTAGGGTTTCACTGCAACTTAAAAATATGTATTTATATATTTTAGACGTCTTTCGCATGAACAAGCTTGTAAGGATCGCGTCCATACGACTGGAAATACACACACGACAA